CATGCTCGTACGATGGCTGACATGGCTGACTGTGGTTGTGGTTTATACTCGGCGAAAAAGTTGTCGAGCGGGGGAGGGGGCCGATGTGCGGGGTATGTAGGTAGGCATGTGCGCTAGTGGCGTACGTAATAGTTACCTATAACACAGAAAATTCATAAAACCCATGAAGTGAACCACGTAACTCCTAGCCAGAAATACGACCCCCCCCTCCCAACAACGACCAAATACGACCCCCCTCCAAAACGTCCGCAAAGCGAGAAAAATCAACTATAAAAATAAATTTTCCGAACCCAAATACGACCCCCTTTTGGCGGCCAAAATTACGACCTCCATAGGCCGAATCCCCAACCAAATGCCTGTGCCGGTGGCATATGACACAGTACTGTCACTTATCCGCCTTCAACAACTTGGTGCGAACGACTTGCGCCCACCGCGCCAACGCAGCGCACTGACACGGCCCCAGCCCGGTCCGTAATGATGAGGCTTGTACATCGAACATATCGAAGGAAAGTCTTCACACCCTGAGCCTCTAATACTCGGCATTAAAGCGGTAAGGAGTGATAAAAATGTAGCGCAGATGGTATCTTATCCATTCTTATCGAATGATATGATTACCTGCCACCCGTCATCAATGTCCTTATCACTAAATCCTTATAATTTGGTAATGTAAAAGCTGCACCGCCTTGAACAGCGACGACGACTGAACGTCTCTTATCAGCCCCTATCAGTTGTTATCGCTTCCAGCCACCCACGGTTGTTGTCCCCACTCACCCTAGATATCTTTGCTGAAATGAACGCCTCGCTGAGGCTGTCACCCGCGTTATGAATATGGTGACCTTCCCCTTCTGAAGCCCCTTATCGAATCTTATCAGCAGCTCGCAGTTCTTGTCACCCAAAAATAATGTTCTTGGCCCGTACTCTACATCATATCTTGGAATCAAGAGCTAGCTGATGCTGTCACCCGCGTTATGAATATGGTAACCTTCTCCTTCTAACGTCTGCTTATGGGATCTATCAATTTGATATCACTTCCTGTCACCACAATAGATGTTCCACGTCACACCCCCTTACATCACTTTCTTGGAGCCACATGTATCTCACTGCCTACTGAGACGGCGCTATTGAATTTGTCGTGACAGACAGACGCACGGACAACACACCACGGACAACTTAGCGGGATTTATAATAGTAGGATGGTTTTGGCGTTCGTATCAGTTTTCAGGATAGTTGCCTCTAAAGGCAAACAGCACATGCCTCCGTTGACGCTCCTTGCACGTCTGGGAGTGTGCAAGTTAAGGGTGCGCTGGACCGTGGACTCAATCACCCAACCATCTTTGTGTTGTAATCAGTAGCTCATTTCTTCTTTCAGATCGTTGTTCGCAAAGCATAAAATGTGTCGCTATTCGAGGTGGTATCAAGAGAGCTGCGATAAGGAGGGGAACCATGCTTTTTCGTGGACAACACTTACGGCCGCCAAGTTCAACTGCGAACCACACACTCGATGTTTCTTGAAGTAGAACAACGACTCCATGAACGACGACTTCATTTTATTTCCGAATTAACGGAAGGAAATTCTTCTAAAGTGTTTCGACATTGTTCGGCTCAAGGGCGTGGAGGGGATTTGCATTTTTACTACTTCCAAGTGCTGTGCTGACTATTTTGCAAAAGTAGAAGATGATGCGAAGTAGCGGAAGTTAATGCCCACCATCCCCCTCTTCCCCCCCCCCCCCTTTCCCAAAGCGAACTGCACCAGCGTTTCGTATGTTTGCGAGCAGTGAAAACAAAACATTTCCAACAGAATTATTCACAAAAAAAAGAGAAATGGATCGAAACACGAAAAACACATGTCAGAAAGAATTAAGCACTTCTAGCATTCACATATATAAGGCATAGATATGCACCATTTTCAGATTCACTACTTTTCGATCCAAATTTTCTACACTTTAAAGTCGCTATCATAATACTGTCCACACTGGACATTTAGGTCACTATATGGCCCTAGACACTACTGCAAGTCCGCCCCTTGGCTGAGCCCGCTTTTGAGACATTTTTTGCAAACTTCCGGTCCTGCTTTGCTTTTTTGCATTTCCCCTTTTCAAAGTGCATAGTGCATCGATGGGTTTCGCCTATTCTGAAGAGCTCTGCAACTTTGTGTTGACCCCGCCCATTTCCATGAAATGGGGATTCGGATTGAAAAGTAGTGAAAAGTAAAAATATTATATGCCTACAAAATCTGCAAAAGACCCGACAAGAAGATGCTCTATTTCATATCCAAAAAAAGATTCTGCTGGCGATTTCTGCAACACCGTACATTACATGATTTGTGAAAGCAGTTCTCTAATCAATTCTAAAGCAGCACTGAAAGATCCTTTGAGGTAAACTCTGATAAGAACTGATGACAATGGTTGGAACTGATGAACAAGGGTAAAAACAATTGAAACAATGATGGAATGAAATTTTGAGGTAATAACAATATTCAAACCAAAACGAGTTCGGCTTCTTTGGGAACACCGAATCGGCGTTTTGTGTTGTTCAAAGAGATCTATTAAGGCGTCGCAGTACTGACGATGGAGGCGATCCACTTCTTCATCAGTCGGTTCAAGCATCTTCGGAACGTCTATTGGAGCACCAATGACTGTGTTGATCGGCGTTCGATAAGGTAGAAAGCCGAAGTTTAGCTGAAATTAGGCCCTATGGCTTTACTGCTGATAGTCTCCAACTTCTCTCTCTTCGTATAACCTCGGCATTGTTGTAACTTTGATGTTCTATTACTTCTGCGCCAACGAGGTTTGTAGGTGGAACTTTATTTACGGCCTAACGTTTCGACCAGATCGTTCCTCAGAGGCCTGACTGTAGTCAAGATTTTTAATTTGCTTTCTACACCGCCAAACGCCTTGTCACCCCAGCGTTTTCCGTCGCTACTTCCAGAAACAACCAAAAACCTCCGTAGCGCTAAAGACATGCCACGAGTCCACCGCGGCATGAGTCGGATCAACGCCGCTCCACTAGATGTTAGTAATGTAAGTGAGACACACCGTGCTGTCCTTGTGTAGTAGCTATCAGGACTTGCATCTCACGGCTTACATCATTAACTCGCAATGTGGTGAAAACGGTAAGAGATTGGATCATTTCTGATGGCTAAACACTCTTTTCGGTTATTCATCCCAGGATTCCTTGCGGAAATCCAGAATGCCTCTAGCCCTTTTCTGGCGAGATCTCAGTCTCGTAAGCTAGGATCCTGCACTTCACCATCAGAATCCTTCCGTTTCTTCTCAGATGCTTCCCTAGCGGGTTGTTGTGTTACAACGCCTTTCCCCGCCAAGATGTTCTTTGACACGTTGCCAGTTGTTTAGCAGTCTCCCCAATGTATGTTGCATTTGGCATTCGATTTGATAGACCACGCCAGTTTTGGCACAATCTCCTGCCTTACCGTTAGCGCAGTATAACACAATAGACCTAGATAGCAAGTCTGTCAGTTGACGGCTGTTACGTACAAGCTGGCGCCTGATGCTGTCATTAGGGATGTCACTAGGACCACATCATCCTCCAGCCCTGTCCGAGCCAAACATCTTCGAATAGCAGCACTTACATTATCAGATATGAACGGTGCGTATACATAGGTGCTGATCTTGTTTTGACCAGTCTCACGTGGTACCCTAGGGCGCTCAGAGTGAACCCTTCTGTGGATTTGTGGAACAGTATAGCCATTAGAAACAGCTATATCAGCAGCCAATCGTGTAGACTCTTGCCGTTCTGTCACACCTGTGCCTTACGTATGCAGCTGTCCTGAACATGTTGAGACTGGTAGGCAACTGCCAACACGTATCAAAGAACATCTTGCTGATAAAAGGCGTGGTAAACAACAACACCGTTAGGGACGCATCTAAGACCGCGCGGAAGCGATTTTGATGTGAAGTGCAGGAACCCAGCAAGAGCTCTGAGAGCTCCCGCAGAAAAGCCCCTAGAGCATCTGGATATCCGTAAGCACATCCTAGTACTGAAGACGCGAAGTTGTATGTTTAGCCAAACAAATATCTCGTAAAACCGTTTGACCACATTACGAGCTAATGCAATGTAAGCCAGTTGCGAGGTGCAAGGTCCTGACAATCTACTACACCAAGATCAGCAACTGGCTAGTGTGGGTCGTGTCTCAACTACATTGCTAACATCTAGTGGAGCGGCGTTGATCCGCTCATGCCGCGGTGGACTCGGTGAGTATGTTTTATCCACGGGAGGTTTTTCGTTTGTTGTGAGCTACCGTCGAACCACTGGGTGACAAGGCGGTTTGCGCGTAGAGAGCAAATTGAAAATCTTGAGCCTACGCTTGCCTCTGAGGACGATGATCTGGTCGAACGTTAGGCCGTAAATGAAGTTCCACCTATAAAACTCGTTGGCGCGAAGTAATAGAACATCAAAGAGTTTTGTTTATTTTGGACATTGGAACTGTACAGAATATTGAGGAATCAGCATTCATCTTATTAAGGCGTGTATTACAACTTCATCTTCAAAGGAGGGGAGCTCAAGGGAATAACCTGTTGCGCGAAAACAATCACCGCAGCTAATCTGAAGGGACAAATTCATCACTCACTCTACAGAGCGACGCGTTCATCGCCTTTACGAGGCGGAAATAGTAAACACATAGCAGCTCTTTTTCAAGAGCTCATGGGAGCATGACCGCAAGACAGAATCTCCCAGGTTTCGTCTCTTTACTCCACAGGCGCTCTTTTCAAGGTGCAGCATTATACCAAAGTCGCAACGGGGCAGCCAGCGGTCGGGTCGTAAACAATCAGAGTTTGAGAATGCAATAAGTAGGCTCTATGCTATGGTTACGCCTCAACAAGGAGTCTGGCATTGCGGGCGAAAATCAGACTGTCCATCCACGTTCCATGCGCTTTTGGTGGCACGCTGACGCAGCTGTGAACCCACGGTCTCCAACATGGCGAGAACTAGGATCGAGCGAGGTGACTGCCAGTGTATAGATTTTCTTTGACAGAACATTTTTACCATATATGATTTCTCGGTATTTCCTTCGAATATTTCGAATAGTTGTGGTGTCTCACCTGGAACAAGCCTCTCCCGTAGAAGAAAGGCACTGAAATTCCGATCAGGTTCTTGACCCAAGTCTGGAATCTTCGCACCATGGAACCCTCTGGGTTGTCGAGCTAAATCAAAGTATTCGACGACAAAGTATTTGAGACTTAGTTTCTCAGATGCCCCGTTTGGGCTTTCACTGCTCAACTTCTGTCTGACCTGCTGGTAGATGTCAGTCTCTCCAAACGAATACACAGGTACTAGCGAAGCACCGCATCGAAGTGCTTGCTTTACGAAACCTTTTCGAGTTAGCAGCTTGAGTTTGTGCACTCCAGGTCGAGCATAAAGGGCTTCTTCAGCTCCTCCTAAGATATTGAGCATTAGGGTACAGATAGCTCATATTTGATATATTTTTATAATTTCCCTCTCCGTTTTCCCACACAACTGTGATTGGTTCAGTATTGCTAACATTTAGAAAATAACTTCACCTACCTACTGCAACGACCACAGCTTGTCCAGCTTTCTTCATCGTGAGGGCATTTTGAATGCTTTCCTTCGAACAGTCTATAATCCGGAGAGCAATAGCCATTCCCTCCTGAAAATACCATCTGAAATCATGTTGTTTTCACTGTTCGATAGAGGTCGACTTTCTCACCTGAGCATAAGATTGAAGTTTAATCCGAGTATACAGGCGAAAAACCTGATTCCAGGGAACTGAACAAAATTACGCTATAATTCTGTCGTTTGGACGAATAGTTCCAACACATCCTTCATAGAGTAGGAATCCGCAGAACGAATCAATAAACAGATGATTCTATTGTATTCTGTATTGTATATTCTGTCTGTTGTACGATTCTTACGAGGAGATGTGCTCTGGTTGAGATAGCCAACATATGTGTCTTCCTTCTGGCATTTTAGAGCCAAAGAAGAAGCCACAGCAGATGACTGTCACCAATATCCAATCCTGGACTGTCCCTCTAACGTGCAGTGCTTGGCGTTCAAAGTCCTTTTTGGAGAGCGAAAACCCAGATTCTGAAGAAAAATTGGTCACCTTTTCGCTCCTCCCACTTGCATCAGCGACGAAAGCTGCGTAGAGCCCGTAGCAGATAATTCCGTGTGGATGAGCTGCTATGAGGTAGTTCTAAAAATTTCGAAATGAGCTTGGTGGTATAGAAAAGGCGACTCCACTTGTAACTAGCGGAGCACGATCTACAGCCTAAATAGAATCACCCCATATATATAATTCGCTTTGTTTGTTTATTTGTTTGTTTGTGAGTTTGTAAGTTTGTAAAGTTTGTCTGTCCGGAAATTCGGTTCGACCTGAAGAACGACTTGAGGTCCAGTCAAGGTGGGGATAGGTAGGGCATGGGACAAGAAATAAAAAGCACACTTGACCTATGGCAAGCCCCGCCCACAGTGGGCGGGGCACTCGCCGAAAGTTTGGGGTTCCGCAGAAAAATGTTCATAATTCGCTTTCCGGAGCAGAGCTCAAAGATGGGGAAAAAATGGGACTCGAGGTTAGTAAGGGGTCGCCAGACTAACTGTGGCAGGTACACCTAAATGGGCGGGGCGTACTCAAGGTGGGCGGTGCAAAATTCAGTAACCCGGTTCGGAGAAGCGAGCGTTGGAAGTCGCAAAAAACCAGTAGAATGTAAATATCCGGCGAATATAGGGCGCGCTCAAAGTGTGTTGAGACCCGCCCACAGTGGGCGGAGCTTGCCCTAAATCACAGGGTATTCATTTTAAAAGTTTGTAGCTCGGTTCCAGAACATTCCAGATACCGAAAAAAAAAGTGGAACAAGTTCAGTAGAGGGTCGTCGCTTAAGATTGTGGGGCAAAAAAATTGTGGGCGGAGCCTGCTCCGAGGTGGGCGGAGCCAGACAAAAGGTCTGTAAAACGGTTCCAGAGCACTCCGAAGACCGGAATAAAGTGAATTCAGGTCAGCAAGGGGTCGCCGCGTTTGAGAAATATGTGGAGCGTAGACAATACTTGGCGAGCGGGGCCAGCCCGGTGGGCGGAGGGCAGACGAAAATTCTCTAAAAAATGCTCCAAGAGCACTGCCGGAAAGACCGGAAAAAAGTGACTAGGGTCAGCAAGGCTGGTCCCGCCGGTGAGGATGTGCGGCAAAAGCATTGTGGGCGGAGGCCTGCTCGAGATGACGGAAGCCAGACAAAAGTGTCTGTATAAAACGGATCAGCAGGCACACTCCGAAGACCGAGAAAAAGTGCTTAAGGTCAGCCGCAGGCAGGGGTCGCCGGTGAGGATTGTGGGCAGGCACAAACATAGTGGGGCGGAGCCTGCCCAGAGGTGGGCGGAAGTCAGACAGAACTCTGTAAAAAATAGCTTCCGACGAGTGCCTTCAGACACACAGGCACAAAAAAAAAAGTGGAGACCAGTAACAAAAGGAGGATATCCAGTCTGAGTTCTAGAAAAAGAGTCTGAAAGGGGAAATACGCGCGGCCGAAGCCGCGCTCGCCCGGGCCCAGCCGGCCGGTATCAGAAGGAAGGCGTCGCCAGGCGTTAGCCGGCGAGCGACTGGTTAATCATAGTACAACAAACAGAAAACTAACTCTAATCGGTTGGACATGAGCAGTTCAGCTGTTTTTATGCGGAAGAACGCAGGGAAGTAACTGGTAAACCAGTCATTATACCTCCACCTGAAAAATGCCCTGAACCGATGAGTTTTTTGAAACGGAAGATTTAGAGAAGACATGCACAATCGCAGCTCGACAAACCTCTGCATCCACGGATTCTTGTAACCACCATTTTGCGGAGATTTTCGGTCGTATAGATACCAGGGGATGTACAGTAGAAGAAGAGGCCAGTAAGTGAACAACTGCAAAATGATCATATTACTATGCGGTAGTTCCTAATATGGAAAAGTGAGACTTAACAGGCTCCCATACCGTAGTCAAACCCCAAATTGTTGGCTTACGACCTCAAAGTGGAAGCGCAGCCATTCGTTTCGTGTGTGAAAGGGTATACTTACCCCGAGCCGGCCGTGGCGCCAGGGTATTCAACAGCCACTTTCTTTTCTACTTTCTCGAAGTAGTTAGTTGGTGACGACCCTGGTCGACAGCAGTTTTTTTTTGGCTGGGTTGGAGGAGCGGAACCGAAAACCTCTCGGAACGCTGAGGAAATCGCGTCAATTCGGGGCGATTTGTGCGGGGTGAGAAGGGTGATCGTTCGTACCAAAAGGAAAAATTCGGGAGGGGTATAGTCGTACATCCGATTTCTCTCATCCTCTTCAGGGCACATCATTGGTCGGGGATTTCCAAGTCTGTACGACCCCCCCCCCTTCTTGGGGGGGGGGGGAAGTTGGGGGTTGGTACGACACCTCTGTCGCTCCTCATTGAATCAGCCGTCGAGCGCGAGGGGGGAGGAGGGGGTGTATAGCACATGTGAAACAGGGAAACAGGAAAAGCCGCGAGACAATACTACCCTCCCTTTTACCAATTTTCAAATTTCTCCCCAACTTCCTGCCACTTTTTCCGAACCTAAATTTCCCGAAAAGTTCCCTACTTTTTCCCAAAACTACGCATGAAACAGGGAACTCACAAAAAGTCAACCACCACTCCCACCACTATTGGAAGACCAAAAAGTAAATACGACCCTCCCCCTCCCAACAATGGCCAAATACGACCCCCCTTTTTTTTACAATGTCCGTGAAACGAGAGAAGAGCAATTATCAAAATAAATTTTTCCCAGCCCAAATACGACCCCCCTCTCCTGCTGGCCAAACACGACCCCCTCCCCTATAGGGGATTCCCCAACAGC